ATGTGAAGAGACTATCAATTTGTGGTCTCTTTTGCTGGAGCGTTACAAAGACCGTCATCTTGTAATCTTCATCTTGGCTCCTTACAAATATGAGAGTCGTCAGATTGTAACTCCCAATATTGATTGTGAAGGCTGTTGATTAGAGCTTTCATCAGTTGTTGTGAAGGTCGTCAGATTGTATCTTTCATCGATCTACGTGAAAGTCTTCAAATTATAGCCTTCTGGAAGTCATCAGATTGTAACTTCCATCATCGGTGTTTGATGGGGGATCGGGTATCTATTATGATTTTTAGACAGCCTACAACTCCTTCAAGGACAAAAATGTTCCAGCCATTTTCGAGTCTCTCCTTAAAAACAACAAGATCAAGCTACCACCTATCATAGATCAGGAGGAAGCTGATAATACTTTGGATCCAAAGTACTGTGCGTATCATAGGAGGATCCTTCATCCTACCAAGGCTTACTTTGCTCTCAAAAATAGCATCCAAACCTTGGTTGAAGCTGGCGTTATAACGTTAAATTAAGCCGAATGAACACTCCGAAGAGTATACGAGTATAAACTGCTTCTTAATACTCCAACAGGTATATGAGTCTAAACTATTTCACTCCGAAGAGTATACGAGTATAAACTGCTTCTTAATACTCCAACAGGTATATGAGTCTAAACTATTTCCTTTCTTTCACGGGAAGTTCCTGGAGGGTGTCTTGCCTGGTATTCTTAAGGATAACCTGGAGGGTGTCTTGCCTGGTATACTCCGAAGAGTATACGAGTATAAACTGCTTCTTAATACTCCAACAGGTATATGAGTCTAAACTATTTCCTTTCTTTCACGGGAAGTTCCTGGAGGGTGTCTTGCCTGGTATTCTTAAGGATAACCCGGTCATCCAACTAAGTACAATGTTAGACCCAGTTTCACAAAGGAAGCTGGGGGTGGATGATTCATGTAACGGGAAGTTCCCAGAAGAATGCTATATAGTATATTCTTAGGGAAAATCCGGTCATTACTTACAAAGTGATAAACACTAAACTCCCACTGAGTGATTAGTACAAATCAACACTCTCACTGTGATTTTTTTCTCCCACTCCCACTATTTATCTTGGTCAAACCTTCCTACAGTTAGGACCAGAACCAAAATCTTCTTTCGATTCCTTCCATGAACGAGAGGTCCATTTTCATATCGAGCGATCAAACCTTCTTACAGTTAGGGTCGTCTCAAACCTCTCACTCGGTCAAACATTTAAACAGTTAGGACCACAACCAAAATCTCCTCTCGATTCCTTCCATGAACGAGAGGTCCACTTTCAAATAGAGCGATCAAACCTTCCTACAGTTAGGGTCATCTCAAACCTCCTACTTGGTCAAATCTTCCTACAGTTAGGACCACAATAAAAATCTTCTATCGATTCCTTCCATGAACGAGAGGTTCACTTTCAAATCGAGCGATCAAACCTTCCTACAGTTAGGGTCGTCTCAAACCTCCCACTTGGTCAAACCTTCCTACAGTTAAAACCACAACCAAAATCTCATCTCGATTCCTTCTATAAACGAGATGTCTACTTTCAAATCGAGTGATTAAACCTGCCTACAGTTAGGTTCGTCTCAAACCTCCCACTTGGTCAAACCTTCCTACAGTTAGGGCTAAAACCGCAATTTACTCTCGATAAACGAGAAACTCACCTTTAGTTTGGTAATCAAACCTTCCGACATTTAGGATTATCCGAATCTTTTCGATTCTCGGAGTAGAGTCCCACTCTTAGCTTCACCTTCCTAGATTCTGGAAGTGAAGATCCCACTTTGAGTTCCCTTTGGCAATTGGAGAAAGAGATAGAATATAAAATTCTTCCTCTTCAGCTTTGGGAGATAGAATATAAAATTCTTCCTCTCCCGTATTGGGTTTGCATTTACCCCAAAAGAAGACCTGGATATAGAATATAAAAATTTTCCTCTTCAGCATCGGGTTCGTCTTTTGTCCCAAGAGAAGACACCATCTTTCAACTCTAAAATCCGTGTTTCACACGCGTGGGGAATTTTATCCTGAAGCCTAAGTAGGGATAAATCAACGCCTAACACGCGTTGCCGGTTTAGTCTTTCACCAAGTAAAAAAGACACCGGAATCCGAGTCTGGAGACTTTTATCCCGAATCCTAAGTAGGGATAAGTCAGCGCTTAACACGCGTTGTCGGTTACTCTTTGACCATAAAAAAGACAAAAACTCACATATTCAATATTGTGGCAGGTTGTTATTAATAACACCATAATCCGTTCCTTGCACGTGCGGGAAATTTTATCCTGAATCCTAAGTAAGGATAAGTCAATGCCTAACACGCATTGCCGGGTTAGTCTTTCACTGATTGAAAAAGATACAAGAATCTAAGTCTGGAGAATTTTATCTTGAATCCTAAGTAGGGATAATTCAACGCTTAACACGTGTTGCCGGTTAGTTCTTGACTGTAAAAAGAACAAAAGCACACATAATCGACATTATGGCAGGTTGTTATTAATAACACCAAAATCCGTACTTCACACGTACGGGGAATTTTATCCCGAATCCTAAGAAGGGATAAGTCAATGCCTAACACGCGTTGCCGGTTTAGTCTTTCACTAATTGAAAAAGACACCAGAATTTAAGTCTGGGGACTTTTATCCCGAAGCCTAAGTAGGGATAAGTCAGTACCTAACACGCGTTGCCGGGTAGTCTACTCCCGTGAGAAAGATGAAGTCTATGTATTCAATATCATAGCACTAAGAGAGTTAAACTCTCTTAGCACAATGTTACATGTGGAACAGACTTAAACAATCTGTATGCAAGCCTTATTCAAACGATAATCGGTAAAGACACGTCAAATCCGTTGATGGCTGAGGATTCGCTAAAAATCCTGAGTCTGTATCTGATACATGCAGCCAGGTAGTCTATTCTCGTGAGAAAGACGAAGTCTACGTATTTAATATCGTAGCACTAAAAGAGTTAACTCTTTTAGCACAACGTTAAATGCGGAACAGACTTAAACAAATCGCATGCTAGCCCGACTCAAACGGTAGTTGGTAAAGGCTTATCAAACCCGTTGATGGCTGAGGGTTTTCTAAAAACCCTATAAATGTGAGAGTCATTGATGCACCAGCCCCATTAGTTGGTCTCATGGCTTAAGGATCCAACAACTTCAGGATAAGATCCATACATGCAGATGAATCAGCTTTAATAGTTGGTCATGTAGCCCTGACATTTGGGACCGTCATGCTCAAATGCCTTAAGAGTTTAAACTGTGTAAAGTCCAGCAAATGTACGAGTATAAATTATGTTAACGCCGGTCAACGCGTTACAACAAAGGTTAACACCGGTCAATGCGTTACAGTAAATGTCGAGGCCGGTCAACGCATCTACGATTTCACCAAAATAAGGCTAAGGAAAAATTCCGGATTAAATGATGATTTCAGGGAGTTCAATTGCGATCTAGATATGAATTCCCGATAAAGACGATCAGTTCAACGTTAACTCAACAACACGAGCTAAGTTCAGAAACTTACGCATCAACTTTAGTTCAAGATTTCGACAGCAGCCAGACGATAAACGTAGTACCGGAAGAACTTCAGCTATTCGACAAAATACTGAGTAGATTAAAGAATGAAGAAGTTAAGAATTGAAACAGTTCACAGGTCCCTCTACGGGATTGAGGAAAGGGCCTATCTTATCCAAAGCATTCCAGACTCCTCTATAATAGAATAAGTCTGAAATACTTTAGAGAGGATATATGTAGGTGTCTAAAATGCCTATAGGTGTCCGCACACAGCTCGAGACGGAGAGAAGATGACGAACATCGTTATCCGAGTCTAAGAGGATTATTTGACGCTGACAAGTGCATGAACCAGAATAGCGAACCAACTGTGTCTCGTGCGCTCACCGGCCACCTCAAATTGGCCGTTACACCTGTCGGTCATCTCGCGCACGTTAGTCAGCTCCAAGTGACCAAACGCACTCATCAGTCAGCTCGCACGCGTCGATCAGCTCCAAGTGACTGAACACGCTCGTCAGTCGGCTCGTCGCACTTGTCGGTCAGCTCCAAGTACCATAAAGAAGCCAACGATCGCATGATACAAGTTAACAAAGCGTAAAAGTCAACAAAACGATCAAATACACAAAACAACAGAAAATACAAGTCCCGGAAAATCGAAAAAAAAACACCAAAGAGTTCAGCAAAAGGCCAAAACCCCCACGCTCGCGCGGGTCAGTCAGCGTTGACCTGCTCTCATGCGGGTTAGCCACGGCCGACCAGCGCTGACCCGCGCTAGC